TCAACATAATACAATTTAGCAACAACATACTGGCTTTATGTTTCAGTACACCTTTTTTATGCACTTCCTCGCATGGTTAGCATGGCTTTATGTGGACTGGAACATGGTACTAGCCCACGCCCAAAACATATAAAGATGAACATGCATTCTGCTTAATTAATTGTGATTCTTACTGATAGTGTACTCCACGCAGACACATGGCACGAAGCACACAAGCAAATCAACAAGTCCCCCGTAACTATTGGCCACTAGAAACGCACAAGCGCGGGAAATGCTCCTGGCCATGAGAATCGCACAAGAAAGCAGAGTTAACACCACAGGGAGTGGGCAAAAAGGCTCGAGCTTGTCTCTGTCTCCATGGAAAGAAATAACGAAAGAGAAAGGCATATGTCCATGCGCCCCATGGCTGCCTAGCAGCGAGCACCAGGGCACTCCACTGTCCACTCCACCGAACCACGCGCCCACCCGTGTCAACTCGGCTGGCGGTGGCTCGACACATCGCCGGCCAGATAAACACCTGCACTTCCGCCCCGGGACTCCGCAGATACCATCGATCGATTGATCCCCGGCGGGCTACGCAGTATAATACTCGCGCCGCCCATGGAATCGAAGGGCAGGAGGAATAAGCGCGGCAATCATGAGGCCACGACGGGTCAAGGGAAGAGCCAAACAAATATTCAGGCTCGACGAACAGCGAGGCGAAAACGACGACGAGGCTGTTTTGTTGCCAATATTGTAGAGAGCAAGTGATGGGCGCCAAAAAGGACCCTTCTGTCGCCTCGCTGCAGATAGGCACCTAATTCTGTTGAGGGTTGGCTTATTGTATGTGATCCGGTGGCGTCAGATGCAAAGAGGAGGTCAAGGGCGAGCGGGAATCCTATGCACCGTCGATTAAACAACCTCGCCACTACTACTACATGGGATACGGAAGCTGGGGGCAAATCCTATCCTCATTTCCTGTCCGGTTGGGGATTAGCTCGATCGGACGCGACTGATCGAAGACTCGGTGTCAAAGGTCTGCAGGCAGATTGGTTAGTTACTGTCGGATCGACACCACTGATAACATTGCATTTATTTTGTTTTAATTTAAAGGGGAGATCCGGGCAGCATTTTCAGTCTAGTGATCCCGTTGTTGGGAGTAGTAGGATTAGGCGGTCACTTGGTGTGGATACTATAGAACCGTAATGCGGTGGTGTTTGGTTTGCATTGCTGTGTAACACTCACATCATCATTCCGGTGCTTGTAGATACTATGATGTACTCTTCAATGGGTTCCAGTTGTTCCGGATGTGTTTGCTGGATCAATCACGTTGGTAGTTTCGTCAGATATCGCCAGTCTTTTCACGGGAGCTTCTACCGAGAGAGAAGGCAGCAGCTTCGCAAGACAAATCTAAATGGCCAACCATTGCCGCCAGCCCGCCATCCGTTGGAACATACGAGTGCGTTTCCCCTATTTTTTTTCCTGTGCATTTGTATCACGAAATGAATCAAGACTATTTAAAGAATCAAAGCAATCGACTAGAGAATAAAGGGTGAACAGGTGACTACAAATTTAACGTGATTACCAATTTTAGGATAACACGGATACAATAAATTCTTAAAATATGCGACTAGGTGAGAACAACCTATACAACAAGCAAGCAACAAGTTAAGCTGGGCAACAATTTAATTAGCAAGGCAGTAAGCATAGAAACTAAGTAAATGGACGAGAATGGATAAATCACAAGTGAGTTGAGGACGCGGAAGTTCACGCTCTTTGGGGAATACTAATCTTCGTTGGAGAGGTGCCGAAGCCAAGGTTTTGGAACATCGACATGTGGCTCACCTTACCATCCTTTGAGTCACCCAACAATGAGCCTTAAATCACTCGAAGTTGGTATTGAAGGCGACTACTAAAGCTTTACAAACTCCTCGGAGCACACCATATGCAAGAAATCTTCCAGGCCTTGACTCGTACTACCTAGGATCCTCAAATCTCCAAGGGTAACAAATTTTGAAGATAAAATCGAGCGGAGAACACATATCCCACACTCGAATCCAAGCACTTGTACATTCGAAGAAGCCACCTGCTATTTCACTCAAGTTCGATGACTCGCCAATGGATTTTAAAAGACATGAAAGGCTCTCTCCTGCTATCAAGAATAGATATGGGGAAATTAGGTCTCCCAGTCAAATCCCATCCGAAGGTTTAAACTCCTGTATTTTCTTGCCATTGAATAAAGTTGATAACTTGACTAACCTCACCAGATTCATAACAATGGCCACCCACCTCTTTGTGAATTCCAATTTCAACATTATTGCGTGTAAATAGTCTCACTCAACTCAATCATATGCCTTCGACATATCCAGTTTTAATGCACTGCTTTGTACCACATCATATTCTTCTTTGCTTTGTTTCTCTTCATAAAATGAAGACACTCATAAGCTGTAATTATGGTATCCGTGATGAGTCTGGCTGGGACAAAAGTAGACTGCTCCTCTGAGATGATATCAGGTAGCACTAATTTCAGCCTCTTAGGTATGACTTTGAAAGCAATTTTGTACAACACATTGCAAAGGGAAATAGGTCTAAAGTCTAAACTGTGGCAATGATGTGGGGTTCTTTACCTTTACGTGAGAAGAGAAGTGACTTTGCGTGAGCAAATGAGTGGGCCAAAAACATGGAGACCACGTGTGCAGGGAGAGGGTTTTCTTCCACATGAGGGGTTGTGCATGTATAGGGGAGGCTATGAATCGTTTGTTGCAAGACAAAAGGAGGTGTCACTTCAAGAGGCGCCCTCCCGTCGCTACTTTTGGGCCGACTAAAGTAGCTCCTTGCGTATTAGTGTTCTTTTGTTCTTTTGTTGAAATTTTGAAAAGAAGAATTCCATATTTCAAAACTGAAAATTACTTTTTTAAAATGAATTTCCAAAAGATTAACGCGGTGCAAAAAATTGTTGGTGTAGCTGTAGAAAAATGTTGATAGCATTAAAATTGTTCACATGCTTCAAAAAAGTGTACATAGCATTTCGAATAATTTTTTATACAATCTTAAAAATATTCGTGTCACTCAAAAACAATGTTTCGTAACACTCAGAAATGGGTGTTACATTAGAAAATGTTCGAATGTTCCAAAAAAATGTTCTGAAAATTTAAAACTGCTATATAAAATCTAAAAAAATCTTGGCATAGTTTTAATTTATTTTTATATAATTCAAATAAAAATTCATATTTGAAAAATGTTTAAAACATATTCGAAGAATTGTTCAAAACCATGTATTTGAAAAAATGTCAATCATGTATTTAGAAAATATTAAAGTTGTATAAAAAAGTTTTAAATGTGTATGAAAAAAGGTAGACATCAAAACATATTTTTGAAGAATATTAATCATGTATTTAAAAACTATTAATCTTTTTAGTAAATAAAAAATATTAATCATGTATTTAAAAAGGTCAAAAGCTCACGTCTCCTACAACCACATTGACGGGCCTGGCCTAGCGCATCAACAGGAGGCGCGTCCCTACAAGTGACTCACTCACGTGGCCTACAACCTCATTGACGAGCCTGGCCCAACGCATCAACAGGAGGCGCGTCCCCCTCCTAGCCAAACACACATTTCATCAGTGAACTTGATTTTATCAAGGTGATCAACCCCCCTTCGGTTCCTACAAGAACTGCCCAACCTAATGCTCCACCGTGGAAGCAACCGGCCGAAGGTTTTTGCAAAATACATGTTGATGATGCATTGCCAGCAGATGGCAAAACCGGTGCCTCTGCTGCGATCTGCAGAAATAGAGATGGAAGCTATATGGGTTCCTCATCTCTTGTTCTTCCTGGAACTACAAACCCAACGACTTTTGAGATGCTTGCTTGTCGCGAGGCACTGGCCGACTGGCGTTAGCTGAAGGTCTCTTGGTGTCGAAGATTGTTATTGCATGTGACTGCAAGACAGTGGTGGATGATATTACGAAGGGGCGAGGAGACTCCTATGAGGCTATTGTAAAAGAGTTTTTAGTTAGATCTAGTTCTTTATTCAATTGCCTAGTTCCTTTTGAAGGTCACCACGTGTGGCTTATTTCTCCTCATGACCCAACTTGTATTCCCTTAAACATCATCAGTGATCAATAAAGTGTTGGCAAATCTTCAAAAACAAAAAAAAAAGAAACACACACTGGTCACAAATAATTTTTCTTTCACCTTCTCAATTCTCATCTTTATTTTCACCTTTATCTCGATTTTCAAAAAATGTTATAGAAAGAGCTTAAAATGTTTTTGTGTGAAACTAAAATATATTCACGAACTGTAAAATACACAAATTTATGAAATATTTATGGGTTTGCCAAAATGATCACAAATTTTAGAAGTGCCTGCGAATTTAAAAATATTCATCAATTTCAAAAATGATGCCGCATTATTAAAAAAAGTGCTGAAACGGGTATTTGTAAAAAACAATGTTGATTTCAAAATGGAAAAAGGAAGAAAACAAAAACAAAATCAGGAATAGGAAAAAGAAAAAACTAAAATAAAAACCGAGACAAAAAGATAAAACAGATATAGATAACAAAGAAAAGAAAAAACTGACGAAACTTTCTCAACCAAGCGGAGGTTCCAAAACTGCACCTATCTCTTTAGAAAACCGCCCCGGTGCTGCAGTAGCTCCACTGCTGCATGGGCCACCACTGTCGTATCGCTCGCAACGATCGACAAATAGGGTTACCTCAGTTCCAGATAAATACCGTATACAAAGACCAGTTTCTGCTGGGATATCAGCTTAGTGCAAAATCATGGATACTAGTAGGCATTTCAAACTTAGAAAAGCTACTAGGCTCATAAATGAACAAACAAGACGACAGTAAATGACAGTCAGAGTCGAACGGTCAATATTTATTTGCTAGAATAAGTCACTCTTGTATTTCTCTTCGGATACAGTCCTTCCCCTGGCACATCTAGTGGCTTTATGCAGTTTTTACATCAACTCTGAATGAAATTGAAACTCTTAGTGTTGAGGACAGTTAATCTTGTCAAGACTGGAGGGACTTGCTATAGCGTTCCTTCGCGAACGCCACAAAACGTTCTAGCCCATTGAAAAGTAAACCTTCCAGAAATGGTTTCAGGGCCTGGTGAAAAAGGATGGTTGGATTGCTCAACTTCATGGATTTGTGACTATATTAAAGCATGGAATACTGCAGAAAAAAATAATTATATGCATGCTCGTTTGCTACTTACTGATGCAACCGGGGTCAGAATTTCAGGAACTTCATAGGCCACTGTTAGCTGCACACAATGATGAAGGGAGATCAAGTTGTGAAGAAGAAGCAGCTCATTACAAAGTGTCAAATTCACAGTGCAGAATGCTCACTTGTACTCTACAAGAGGATGAACTCTTAGGGAAGAATCGGACAGCGCCCCTGCAACAAGTGGATTGCATTATGCCAACTTCCAAATAAATCAAAAGGTAGCCATCTCCATGGATCGAACACTAAGTGGGGACAAGAATAAAGATTGAAATAGGAGTCCGACAGAATTCAGTTAAGTTCAGAAGTCATGTTACTTTTTTCCCATTCTGCTTTCCAAACAATTACCTGAAAGGACCTCCAGCACATGCAGTAAAATTTCTATAAAATTCAGTTCTGAGATGCTATCAGGGGATGATCAGAATAATGCCGAGATTGATTTCTTTAATAAGTACTCTCTCTGTCCGCTCCACATGATATAGTGCGCATTGGTTTTTGCAAAAGCCAAACTTCACAAACTTTGACCAAGTTTATAGAAACAATTATCTATATCTGTAATATCAAATATATACCATATGAAAATATATTTCGTGATTAATATAATTATATTGATTTGACTAGATTTTGATAAATTTTCCTATAAACTTGGTCAAAGTTCACTAAGTTTGACTTTAAAAATATCTAATACGCACTAGGCACTATAGTCACTGATGGGACGGAGGGAGTACACTTGTAAGCTGGAACTTATCTATGTGCAGACAAGTATGTTAGGAACAAAGAGAAGGGGGAAATGCAGGATCTCCACGGAACCGGTTGAATCTTGGAATATGAATGACTCGTTGTAGAAATAAGATGTTTTCTCCTTCTCGTTGTATTTTAAGGTTTGCGGCAGCTGGGATTTTTTTTATTGTGAGTCACTTGTAATCACGGCAATCAAGAGCTGGGAAAGTTTTTTCTCCAGTCATCTGTGAGACTGGTTACGTCAATTAAGATATATTTTTTTGCCCCGCAAAATGAGTTTTTTTTTTCATTTTTGTTGTCGTGTTAGTAAACTACCTTGTTGTTTTCTTAATACTGTTTAAACTGTAATATATGTCTTATGTACATCCATGCTTCTGTAGGACTCAATGTCAGAACTTGCCTTCTAATCTTCCCTCAAAGGAACTTTAGAATCGAGGTGAAAAAGTTTGTCTATTCCACAAAATGTTGTGTTACCTCAAGATTCTAAAGAACTGTGCACCTATGCATGTGTAAATTCACTACCTAGCTCATCAGCGCACACGAGTCACAGACGTGCTTAATAGTACGATTTTGCATATAAATTTTTTAGTCTTAAAATCCCTCTGTTTGGATGTCAATATTGGGTTAATAAGCAAATCCACCAAATATACTCTATAGTAGCTACATATTATGGCACTGCTAGAAGGAGGGCGTGAGGGCAAGATGGAAGGGATTTCCTTCTTAATTCTTGCTTGATTAGATTGATACATCTCCTCTCTTTATATAGAGAGGTTTACTTGACTCCCAAGCAAGGCTTACTTGACCCCTAAGCAAGCGACCCTTATCTCTAAAGACTAACGGGCTATACCGCCCGCCCAGGCCATTAGGCCCATTACGTACTCTAACACTACACCCCACCTAGACATGCAGCTTGTCCTCAAGCTGCAGCCTAACCAACTTATAACCATGACTCGACGCAACACAAACCTAACACCTAAAAACAAGCCTTTTACCTCTCGGCTTGTTTTATTACTCTCAACCTGAAATGGACTGGGACGATTTATTTTGGACCCCTTAACAAAAAGTGGACACCATCCGCACGTCGGACGTGCACGTGTACAGCCACCTGGATCCCATGGACACCATCTGGACAAAAGGAATGCATGTGTATGGCCACCTGGAAATGGTCGCAAGAGCGACCAGCAGAGGCGCCCTCGCGGTGGCTGGCGGAATGCAGTGGTGCTACGCGGTGCACTCCTGTCGGTGACACCCTGCCTTCTCCCCGCCGGACGGCTGTTGGTCTGCACCGCACAGAGAAGAGTGGAGGGCTTGCGATGGAGAATGACGAGGGGTGCGCCCCCCCAACCGCCGATGTCGCAGACTTTGAGGTCACTGCCCGCGGGGAAAACAGCATGCCCAAGATCCCCGACGCAGCGGAGGAGATCGAGGTCCTTTCCACAGCGAAGCGCAGCTGGGAGGAGCGGCAGCTACAGACCACGCATCTCCCGCACACGCCGACGCGCTAGGAGGCCGCGCGCAGCAGCCTGCAGCCTCACCGCCGCCGACACGTGGCGGGTAGTGATCCAAGCCAGAAGTGGTGACGGCGACGGCGGGAACTTGATCTGCTGGATGGGGACGCCCTGGGGAAGCGGTAATGGCGACAGAGGGAACTTGATCTGGTGGATCGGGGCTCCCGCCGGCGCGGTCCATGTAGGGCCGGAGCTGACCGGCGATGGCTGCTGCAGCGGAGCGCCAGGCGCGGCGGAGGCCGCCAGGAGCGGCGCCTGCCACTGTAGCCAACGCGGGGCGGTGGATGGCAGCTGCAGCGGCCCGGCGAGCGCGGCGGGGAGGCGGAGCGTCGGTCGCGGCGGCGGCCACTGCAGCCAGGGCGGGGCGGTGGATGGCAGCTGCTGCAGCCGCCCGGCGAGTGCAGCGGAGGCCGCCTGGGGCAGCGGCTGCCACGGCAGCCACAGCGGCGCGGTGGCGGCGATGGGCGGCGCAGCCGGGTGTGGCCCGTAGGACCCGGACAAGAACAGGCGGATCTCCTGGACCGCCTGGGTTAGGTCCCGCAGTGCCCCGGACACCTCCGGGGTGAGGACGGAGGGGACTGGCGCGACAGAGAATCCCGGCGCGGGCAGGAGCGGGGCGACGGTCGTGATGGTCGCCGAAGGCGACGAGGTGACTGGCAGCGGAAGAGACGGGTTGGGCGGCGGTGAAAACATGATCAAACCGAAGCTAGCTGATACCAAACTGTTATGGCGCTGCTAGAAGGAGGGCGCGAGAGGGCCGGCCGGGGGCCTTTTGCCCATGGCCGAGCAAGATGGAAGGGATTTCCTTCTTAATTCTTGCTTGATTAGATTGATACATCTCCTCTCTTTATATAGAGAGGTTTACTTGACTCCCAAGCAAGGCTTACTTGACCCCTAAGCAAGCGACCCTTATCTCTAATTAACCCTAAGACTAACGGGCTATACCGCCCGCCCAGGCCATTAGGCCCATTACGTACTCTAACACTACACAAACTGCATGTGTTTCCTCTTGGGTTCATTCCCGTCTTCAGTGTAAACCTTTCTATTGGCAGCTTGCAAGAATTCATTTATGAAGTTCCTTGTGTTTCTGTTTGTGATGCATGTAGCAGCCAGCCTGCCAGAGTTGCAAGGTAACAAACTAAAAAGGTTGCAAGTTAAAAGCATTCCACAATAGTTGTGATTTTGTAAGCCTGAACATATTTTGTGTTTAAATTTTTACTACTCCCTCTGATCCATATTACTTGTCGCTGCTTTATGGATCAGAGGGAATAAAGCAGTGACAAGTAATATGGACTGGAGGGAGTACAACAAATTCAGTACTGAAGTTACAGTTGTACAACGGAGTAGGAAGATTACCCCTTGTCTTCCTATGGGGCGATGATAGAGAAGCAAACATAAGCGAGAGGAAGACAGACAAAGGGGTGAAGAGTGGTCATCGCAAGAAGCAGTAGAAAAACCATGGTGGATGTGGACAAGATGCACTAGGATAGAGTCGGATCCATGCACAGTAATCTTCACAGAAGAGAAAGAAGACGGTGTTTAACGCCGTCATTGTTGCTCTTGACAGACATGACTTTAGACACATGTACACGGAATAGGATGCTTTGGTCACTGTATGATGTGGTATGTTCTAGACATGGCCTTTCTGACCCTTGCTATGATTGGTACTTCTCTTACTATTTCCATTAGTTTTTATAAGTTTTCTTGAATGCTTGCTGTCATTCCTACTGCCAATTAACTTCTTATGATGACAGTTCCATGATACAGGGCATATGCATTTTAAACAAGCTTAAATAATACAACGAATAAATAAGCGATTGCTAATTTTGGTATGTTAACTTGAGTCTCAGGTCAGACTCTACTTGCTTGTGTAAGCCAAGGTAGTATTCTCGCAAAATACACAGCAAGGTAATGTCCTGCTCTTTTCTACTAGTAAGAATTTGAACATCACATCATCGTGTTCTGATGCGAATGTTTATCATGTTGCCCAAGACAGTTACTAGCCCACCACATGATTTGTACATCAAAGGGGTTAAGGGGAAAGGGGGAGTCCTGTTGCCTATCATATGCTGGCAAAACATGAACCGTGCTGCAAGATCTACAAAATGAGTTGGCAATTTGGAATACTGATGTACTGACAAATATAAATAAGATGTCGTTGATTCTATCACCTTTTGAATTTCCCTAATTATGTGTGATTCGTAGAAGCAGTTGTTGGTTAAACAATTCAGGTAAAAGGCGGTGTTTCATATGCTGAAATAATGGATGCTGAAATAATGGCAAAGGTCAATTGAGAGCCTTGCAGTTGCTTTCCATGCTCTTGTAGTTTGAATTAGTTTTCTAATATTGTGGAACTGGCTACATTCAAGTTTCGATTAAAGTCTTCAAATGCCTGGTTGGAGAATTGCCTTCCATAAGTGTTCTGATAGCATGTTTATCTCCAAATATGAGATAAGCTGAATTTCTTATAATATCGAGAAAGGCCAGGCTCACAAATTGTAAGACTGCTGCATTTCCAGTAACCTCATTTTGTTGGGCTCTTTTTTGGTTTTTGCCTTCAATAGATACTACACGACATCTTTATATTGTGAATCTTGAATAGTTACTACTGTTGAAGTGTATATATGGATTGCCAAGCCCTTTCCATCAATTCAGACTTTTGGTTGCGTTGGCTAGTGCATGAAGCTTAACATGGTATTTGGGTCTGAGAGCATCTCCAGCCGCGCCCCCAACAAGCCCCCCCAGGCGACTTTTTACGCACCGGCGCCGAAAAAACGCCCCAGTCGCGCCCCCAAGACGCCGAAATCCGCCGGCTCGGTCCGTTTTTGGGCCCGGCGATCGCAGGCCGAACCCGCGCACTGGGGGGCGCGGGGGGGCTCCGGCGCAAGGGAAAAACACGCCTGGCCCACACCGTCAGGCGAAAAGTCAAGCTAATTGTCCAGATTCGCCTCCCACCCCCCGCGCGCTCGGCAGCCACCCTGCCGATCCCGGCGCCGCCCACCGCCCAACACCGCTAGATAGGCCATTCCCTGCCGGAAAAAGAGAAGAGGTTTCGCCGCGGCAGCCTCTCCACCACCGTCCGGGCGATTTTTCCGGCGTTCTGGCCGCGTAGGGGCAGTGTACCGGCGGGTGTGCGCCCACCACGCCCGCAAGGTGTTCGGCGATTTGCCTGCTCGGCAATGGACTCGGACGACGAGGAGGCGCTCGCCGCGCTGCTGGAGGAGGAAGCCGATGCCGACGTCCAGGAAGAGGAACATCTCATGGTCTTCGCCGCCCTCGCCGGCCTGCTCGCGAGCAATGAAAAGCCGCGGCGAGGTGGCTCGGCGCCGGGGCAGATGAAAGCAAAGAACCGGCATCGTCTGGAAGGCTACTGCATGCTCTACTCCGACTACTTCGCCGACGCTCCAATGCACAGCGACAAAGTATTTCGGCGCCGTTATCGGATGAGCCGAAAGCTTTTCCTCAGGATTGTGAATTCCATCCGGGCGTTCGACGGCTACTTCAAGTGCAAGAAGGATTGCACCGGCAAACTTGGATTCACCTCAATCTAGAAGTGCATGACAGCGATGAGGATGCTTGCATACGGAGCTCCCAGTGATTCACTCGACGACTATGGGCGCATGGCCGAGTCCACCACCATTGAGTGTTTCTACAAGTTCTGCAGGGCAGTGGTGGTAGTGTTTGGACCGCAATACTTGCGAACACCCAATGCGGAAGACACTGCTTGGATCCTAGCACAGAATGCAGCAAGAGGATTTCCTGGGATGCTTGGAAGCATCGACTGCATGCATTGGAAATGGAAGAACTGCCCATCTGCTTGGCAGGGGATGTACAAAGGCGCCAAAGGCGGTTGCAATGTGGTACTTGAGGCGGTGGCCATTCAGGACCTCTGGATTTGGCACTCCTTTGGTATGCCAGGAACTAACAATGACATCAACGTGCTGCAGTGCTCTCCTGTCTTTGCCAAGCTTGTTGAAGGTCATTCTCCTCCGGTGAACTTCGAGGTCAATGGGTGGCACTAAACAAGGGGTACTACCTAGCTGATGGCATCTATCCGAGATGGTCGACATTTGTGAAGACTATCTCAAACGCTGTGCCAGGAGGCAAGAAGTTCCAGTTTGCCAAGGTTCAGGAGGCTTGCAGGAAGGATGTCGAGCGGGCATTTGGTGCGCTCCAATCTCGATTTGTTGTTGTTCGGTACCCTGCTCAGACCTGGTCGAAAGATCAAATGTGGGAGATCATGACTTCTCGTGTCATCTTGCACAATATGATCATTGAGAGCGAGCAGGAAGAGCCAGTGTTTGACACTGAACCATACTACAGGCAGTGTCCTCTTGCCGAAGTTGATCACCAGCTACCGGCAACCTGGACTGCCTACCTCAATATGCGTCAGGAGATCCAAGACCCACATGTGCATCAACAACTGCAGCAGGATCTGGTGGAGCATCTATGGAGGATCAAGGGTGACGCCTAGCTCGACATGTGATGAAATATGAGTTTTTATTTGTTGAACTATATAATTTGTATTGAACTATTTGTTGTTGCACTATTTGTTGAACTATTTGATTTCTATTGATTTTCTGTGATGAACTGTGATAAAAAAATTATTTATGTTGAGAATTCACGCCGAACCACGCCGAATATGGGGCGATTCTCGCCGATATCGGGCCATTTTTCGCCGAAAGTGGGCCGAAAACTGGGCCAACATCGGCGCCTAGGGACGACGGTTGGGTGCCCAACCGCCCCCTGAGCCGATTATACCGCCGGCTCGCCCCCAGGCGGCGATTTTTATGCCTCCTGGGGGGGGGGGCAACGGCTGGAGATGCTCTGAGGTCTCGAGTTCAAGTCCTGACTTCGCAATTTATCTAAAAATTGTTGCTGGCCCCCTCCTCTTGAGCCATACCTCTGAGTCACACGTGAGAGGGGGTCTTGAAGTCTATATTTGGATTGCCTAGCCCTTTCCATCAATTCCGACTTTTGGTTGCCTTGGCTAGTGCATGAAGCTTAATAACTACTTGCCGAACATGCTTCTATCAATCATAATACTGACATTTTTATGTCATTTCAAATGTGTGAGAAGCTGAATTTCTCATAGCATCGGAAATGCCCTATCAGAAATTGCAAGCCTGCTAATTTTTTTTAAAGAGTGATTTCAGTAACCGTAGTTTGCTGGGGTCCTTTTTGCTATTTGCCTTCAATATATACTACAGGAATCATCTTTGTAGTACAAACTTGAATAGCTACTACCTGTTGAACATGCTTCTATAAGAGCTGACACTGATATGTTTTTATATATTAATGATACATAGAGAAACTCGCCCTATTTTCCCCTGCCACGCGCAGCATTTCGGCCACTAGCTAACTACTTTTTTTAATGTAATGTAACTCTAGGGTGCAACAAATTAACTTCCTCAAGGACCACAAGGGAGTTATATTAGGTTGCTTATTGAATTATATGCAATAATTACATGTATGACACCTACAGATGTGTACCCAAAACATATAGGTGCGACTGGTAAGCAACTGGTATTTCTACATCATTTGTCAAGCCCTATACCAGCCTGAACTTATCCGAAATAATGTGATTAACTAATAGTAATGTAAGTCAAATAACTTTTGTCTACAACTACAATCCCAGTACCACCTCTAAGTCAAGACTGGACACAACACCCACAAGATGAACCTTCCACAACGTAACCCATGTTCGCTACAGGAAATGGAATATGATAGTGAAGGTTCATTTTTTATTATAGAAGCCCGTTTTAAATTATTTTTGTTCCGTGGCAATGCACGGGCATTCAGTTAGTATGTATGTAAGTCTGGATTGGTTGAATGATCACCTGTTAGGAAGACCTTCAAGAGAACGCCAATGAATCTTCTGATTTTTAGTCGGCTGATACAGAGGAAAGTTTTATTAACTGAATATTCACTCCCAGATCTGTAGCAACTTTGTCATAGTATATACTTACCGTCATGTTTCGGGCAAGCCAAGAAAATTCTACATCCCGACCAAGTATCGCATACTTCAAAGTCCAACGTGAAAGTTCTGGTTTATCTTCAAGGACCTGTAAATTATCACACGCATAACCATTTGTTGCTAAAACTGAAAGGGAAAGCTAAGTTCATAGAAAACCAAACTAATGAAACGGAAACAGCATAGAAGAGACATGTTGGTCATTATGGTTCTAGCTATAGCGAATTTGACTTGGTGTTGATGGTCATATATGCAGAGGATAGAAGCCTAATGATATGACCAGAGAAGCTTCTACCCATCATACATCTACGGGGAATGTATTCATATCAATTCATATATCAACCCCAAGTGCTCTATTCAGCGATATGCCACTGCAAAGTTCCATTCAATAGAAAAAATGGAATTGCTAACTTGCTGCAATTGTTTAAATGCCAGTATGAGCCATGAATAAGCAAAAGCATCCAATACTAAAATATAACCATCTAAAGGATGGAAGGATGACACAGATGGAAGTTCGGTGCGTGTTCGTGACAAGATTGGAATGGAAATTAATATAATTTGTAGGTTGTACTGGTAAATGTCCACTCCTATTCAGGTATAGAAAAATTCAGCCTCCAACCATGGCATGCTAAAATAAAAGAAAAATGATGTGCAAGAAGAAAAGCGCTAACAAGCACCTTGACAGTTGATATGAATGGCATCCATTCAGGAATAGTCTCACGTTCGGAGTAACACTGGTAGGCCACTGAACATGGAACATCAACTTCAATCTCAGTGCTGTATCCAAGAGAATGTTCAGTCACCGCGAGGGGAGAGCAGATGAAAGAAAATATGTATTGCAGAGAAGCATGGGACTATCAGCAAGCTGTGTCGACGGTACTTGTTTCTGCAAGCGTGAATTAACTAAATAACAGTCAACGTCTTATGAAGGTGCAGCCATGACTCAGAATGTCACATACAAAAGAAGGGCAAATGATCTTTTGAGTGCAACAAAGGATAGAGGTTATGAGTTTTGCTTCCGTACACCCCCTCCTAAAAGTTTGCACAAATCTTAAAGCTACTTAAAAATGAAATTCTCGTACATTAATGATCAACTAATTATAATCCCTATTCCCCCAATAGATCAAACAAGAGATCAGAATAATCTAAACTTTTTGATTGATGGGATAATTTCTAATCTCCACCTTTAATCTGCATCAAAATCTGTAAACTTTTCTAGGGGGGTGTACTGAAGCAAAACTCAGAGATTATATCTAGAGAACCTTCTCAAGTACCCTTACAACATTAGATTCATTTCAACACTGAGAAATTAGAGTCCAATTGAAATGAACCAGCACTAGCAAATTATCCATCACAACCATGAGCAAAAATTCACATGTCAGAAGTTCCCATTTTAACCAAATGGTAATACAGCGATTCAAAGGCAATATCAAATGTTTTTCTAAAAAAAAAGGCAATATCAAACTACTGGCATGGACACGGAGGGTTGGGGATACCTGCACTCCTGCCACTCCATGGCAGGGGAGAACAAGGCAGGCCTCGCCCTTGCCCTGCTGCTGCTATTGATGCTGCCACAGCTCGCCTTCCCCTCCCCTCCCCTCCTCCTCATCCACCACCGGCTGCTGCTGCGGCCGCCGCAGCTGATAAAGAACACCTTGCTCTGCGATGACCCGAGGCCCGGAGATAGCGAGGAGGGGCTCCCCCTTCCCGCGGCGGGGTGGTAGTAGCAGGCAGCTCCGGTGGCCATGGCCGTTGCCCGCTCCTCCCCTCTCTCTCTCTCTCTCTCTCTCTCTCTCTCTCTCTCTCGTGGCTCGTGACGGTGCGACGTATCGTTCTGTGACTACTGACTGCTGTTTTTTGGAGACCACACGAAGCTTTTCCTGCTACTGTACTAGGGTGCTTCGGCTGGTCAGGCTGAGCTTTCAATATGTCTTGAGGAAAAATTTATATCCTCTGTTAGATTGGATCGATGGAAGCGTTCCTACTCCTCCGTAGAGGAGCCACGTGGTATTTATTGATCTGTGGCAGAAACTTGCCTTGGAGTACAAGCACTCGCCGATCGCAAAGATACAGCGAGAGGAGCCAGAGATTTACACGGGAGAGAAGAAGAGATAGAATTAGGAGATAGTTAAGATTACATGACGTAAATATCTCTAACTCTAACACCCTCTCTTAATCTGAACTATCTTAACCTAAATTGAGATTGTTCTTGAATGCTTCAAATGGCTTGTATGGTAGAGCTTTAGTAAACCCATCAGCCACTTGATCTCTTGAAGGAATGAAGCGGATCTCCAGCTTCTTCTCTGCAACCCTTTCACGTACAAAGTGAAAGTCTATCTCAATATGCTTGGTCCTAGCATGGAAGACAGGATTTGCACTTAAATAAGTAGCACCCAAATTATCACACCATAAACATGAAACACGACGTTGCTTTACTCCCAATTCTTCAAGCAAAGATTCAACCCAAATAATTTCAGCAGTAGCATTGGCCAAAGATTTATACTCAGCTTCAGTACTTGACCTTGACATTGTTGCTTGTTTCCTGGCACTCCATGAAATAAGATTAGAACCAAAGAAAACAGCAAAACCACCTGTTGATTTTCTATCATCACTGCAGCCTGCCCAGTCCGCATCAGAAAAAGCACTAACAAGTGTAGAATTTGACCTTCTGAACTGAAGTCCCAAACCTACAGTATGCTTTACATACCGTATAATTCTCTTGACAGCTGTCCAATGAGCAGAAGTGGGAGAATGTAAGTATTGACATACTTTGTTAACAGCAAAGGAGATATCTGGTCGTGTTAAGGTTAAGTATTGCAAGGCACCAATAACACTTCTGTATTTGGTGCTTTCTTCTTCCTTAAGTGGCTCCCCTTCATATGCTGACAATTGTTCTGATGAAGATAACGGTGTAGGTGATACCTTACAATCCTTCATTCCCATCCGAGCCAAGAGTTCATTTGCATATTTTTCTTGTTTCAATACTATACCATCCTGAACCTTTTTAACTTCAATGCCCAAGAAGAAACTCAGATCACCAAGATCCTTTAAAGCAAACTCTGAGCTTAGATCATGCAGAAGGGGCATCAGTAGCTTTCTGAGAAGAGCTTGCAACTACAATGTCATCCACATATATGAGCAAAAAGATAACAGTGTTTGCCTTGTTATATATGAAAAGTGACGTGTCAGCCTTTGATGCAATGAAGCCAAGCCGTTTTAACTGCATACTTAACCTAGCATACCATGCTCTAGGTGCTTGTTTCAAACCATAAATAGCTTTGTCAAGCTTGCATATATAATGAGATTTTTGTTTGTTTTCATGACCTGGTGGTTGCCTCATATAGACCTCCTCTTCCAGAACACCATGCAAAAACGCATTATGTACGTCTAGCTGCCTTAGGCTCCATCCCCTAGACACAGCAATAGCAAGTACAAGTCTGATTGTTGCAGCTTTAACCACAGGGCTAAATGTATCCTCATAATCAATACCGTAGCGTTGCTTAAAACCCTTAGCCACGAGACGTGCTTTATACCTGTCAATGGAGCCATCTGCCTTTTTCTTGATCCTATACACCCATTTGCAATCAATAACTTTTTTACCTTTCTTGTTTGGCACCAGATGCCATGTCTTGTTTCTCATCAAAGCTGTGTATTCCTCATCCATAGCCCTTTTCCACTTTTTATCACCAAGTGCATCATCCAATTTTGTTGGCTCGCCTGAAATACACAACATGCCATATCGAATAGTGCCATCAGTTCTGATTTTGGGGTTCTTAATACCTTTTTGTAGTCGAGTTGCAACTCTTGAAGTGGTTTGCGGAGGCTGCTGTACACGCTGGCGCACTGCATTGTTGTTTGCAGAAGATCCTGGAGAGGAATCAGTAGATGCCGCACCGGATCCAGTGGCCACGGATGTGGCTTCTTCGCCTTGTGCCTCACTGCCTGTTGCTGCAGAAGATCCCACGCCAGCTGAACCAGGCAGACACGCGCGCGAGTCGCGCCTCGCGATTGGCTGCACGCGCACGCCAGCCGAAGGAGATTCTCCGCGTGGGCCTGGCGGGGACGTGTCGGGCGCTGCCCGCGCCTGGTCGACCGGCGCCTGATCCGAGGCAGATCGGATCCGCGCCTGATCCGAGATAGATCGCCGCGCAGGAGTCGCAGGCGCCACCGGATCCTCCTCGTTCGCCGCGCCAGCTTCGTCCTCTTCTTCCACATGAAATACAACTTCATTTTGAATGGGATTTTGATCATTTTGATCGTTTTGAACACCATTTTCTTCAGGAACCTGCACACACGGAAGACAAGGACTGGTTCCGGTAGGAATACTATCATCATGTTGGTTATTGCAATTGTTTCCCCCGTGATCAAAATCTCGAAGTGTAGATGGAAGAAGTAGGATCTCTTGTCGAAGGAGAGCGCCGGCATTAGGATGAAGAGTTTCAAATGGAAAGACAGATTCATCAAACACAACATCACGAGATATATAAACTCGACCTGTGGGAACATCTAGACATTTTACTCCTTTGTGCATGGGGCTATACCCCAAGAATACACATTTTTTGGAACGAAACGCAAGTTTGCGTGTGTTGTATGGTCTTAGGTTGGGCCAACATGCACAACCAAATACTCGAAGAGATTTGAAGTCTGGTTTAGTACCAAAAAGACGTGTGATAGGACTCTCAAATTTGATGACTTTGCTTGGTCGAATATTTATGAGATATGTGGCAGTGAGAAAAGCTTCATCCCAGAACTTTAAGGGCATGGAAGCATTGGCTAGCAGAGCTAGTCCTACCTCAACAACATGACGGTGTTTCCGTTCAGCTGACCCATTCTGTTGATGAGCATGGGGACAAGAAACATGGTGGGAGATTCCAATCTTTTGAAAGAAGGAGTTTAATTTTTCATACTCACCACCCCAGTCTGTTTGCATGGCAAGAATTTTTGAGTCTAGTTGGCGCTCAACAAGGTTTTGGAAATTAAGAAACACTTGGAAAACATCAGATCGTTTCTTTAACAAATATATCCAAGTGAACTTGCTATAATCATCAATGAAACTAACATAATAAGAAAATCTGCCAACTGATGTGGGAGCTGGTCCCCATACATCTGAAAAAACTAACTGCAATGGAGCAGTGGACACACTTGTAGATATGGGATAAGGTAGCTGATGACTCTTAGCTTGCTGACAAGCATCACAAATTGACTCAACACTAGACTCATAGGGAAGATTATTCTTGCTAATGACATGCTTAACTATGACTGAAGAGGGATGACCAAGACGACTATGCCACTTTGCCGAAGAGGGTTTGGTGACACTCCATGCTTGTTTATTCGACCATGATGAAGATGAAGATGATATGAGTGGATATAGGCCTCCCTCACACTTTCCTCTAAGTATGACCTTCCTCGTTGCCAAGTCCTTAATCACAAAAGAGTAGGGATAAAAGATTATAAGAACGTTGTTGTCAAGAGCAAAGCGATGAACTGAAACGAGATTTTTTGAAGCATGTGGAACATGTAGGACATTATTAAGATGTAAATCTTTTACGGGGGTTTTAACAACTGAATTACCAACATGAGTGATATCCATACCGGTTCCACTTGCCGTGTGTATCCGATCACCACCATGATACCTCTCTCGCATCGTCAGCTTGTCAAGTTCCCCGGTGATGTGCTCAGTAGCACCGGAGTCGGCATACCAGTTGGTGTCAATGCCATAGTTGTTGGTGACGAGGTTGGCTGCCTTCTTCTCCTCATGATCATCATCATAACGATGCCAGCACGCTCTTGCGCCGCCGGCATGGAATTTATAGCAGATTTGGCACTCCGGGTAATCACCTTCCTACTGCTGTTGTTGTTGTGGTTGGGGACGAGGCCGTTGCTGCTGGTAGCCGCCGCGACCAGGAGATGAAGCATAGCGGTTCCCTCGACCGCGCCCTCCTCTGGTGCTTCGGCCGCGTCCTCCCCTGCCACGAGACTGTCCGCGCCCCCTGTAGATGGAGTTGGCAGAGGAGCGGAAACCTGATGGCCCGTCCCCGAGCATCTCCATGCGCTGGTCAAACGCCGAGATTTGCGCGAATAGATCGTCGACGCTGATGGAGTTCTTGATTGCGCCGATCGCTGCCACAACGGGATCATAGTCCCGATCGAGACCAGCCAATATGTAGTCCACCATCTCTGGATCGGTGACCGGGCGCCCAGCTGCAGCTAGCTCGTCACCGAGGTTCTTCATCTTGGCGATGAAGGCGTTGCTCGACATGTTGCCCTTCTTGGTGTTGGAGATGGCCATCTGTAGATTGGCTATGCGAGATTGCGACTGCGCGGTGAATATTATGGTGAGAGCAGTCCACAAATAGAAGGTGCTATCCTTACCGATGACTTGCGCAAGGATCTCCTGGGTGAGAGAGTTCAGCAGGTAGCTCAGAACCTGCTGATCCTTCGACAACCACGGGCCATACAGAGGATTGAGCTCAATGGTCGTGGTTTTGTCCGCCTTGGTGACTTCAATTGTCTTCGGCGGTGCGGCGTCGCTGCCGTCGAGGAGGCCGGTCACTTGTGCTCCTCGCAGTGCCGGCATGACCTGCGCCTTCCACAGGAGGTAGTTCCCCCTTGCGAGCTTCTCTGTTGGTGGAGCTCCTAGGTTGAGGCCAACGGCGCTTGAGCTCGTGGCCATGGCTATGGAAGGGTGTTAGGGTTCTGGTTTTGCTAGACGATAGGAAGAGACTTGGCTCTGTATACCATGTTAGA